TACCAGTCTCATACTAGTTCAAAATAGACAGAAAATTACTAGTCCAATTGAGGACCAAAACCACTACTTTGGATGTCAAAAAATAAAATGAATTTATGAATATACAATAAAAAACTTTTGATTAAGTACACTTTAATACATTACACATTTTTATTTAACAGTCTTAGATTTGGCAATAATTAGTGTAAAATTTTTTGAGTATTAATTAAAATTACAATTTGAGATTTGGATAAGAATAAAATAAATAAATAATTCAATCAGTTATTAAACATTCTTAAGCTTTGTCTATACTTTGGCTTGTTGATTGATAAATAAAATTATTCAAATAACTAGAGTGAAAGCTCCCATAAGCGGACACCGATGGTCACCTACTTTTTATCCGCCTATGAGAGATGTCCGCTTATGGGAATTTTGTAAGAAATAAAATCAAAATTAAAACATAAAAAATGTATATTGCGAGTTTCTAAATTAAAATAATATTTATTCTTCAATAGACAAAAACAGGATGAATTAAGAACGAATTCTAATTTATGGCGTTTTCTTTCCTACCGACAAATCTCATTGCCCACTTCGCTCAAGCAGCAAGAAGAGGGCAACGAAAAGGCAACACTTTTTCTAGAAAAGAAAATATCTTTGACTATGGACTATGTCCTTGTGTACATATACAAATGTAGAAGCGCCAGAGTCAACATCTGACTGAAAAAAAAATCGCCGCTTGTTAAAGTTTCGCGTCCGCTTATGGGAGATTTTTTTTCATAACTGGACATTTTTGAGTGTCCGCGTCCGTTTCTCGAAAAGTCCGTGTATGGGAGAGCATTTTGTATAGAAAAAAACCAAAAAATTGTTCGTTCCCAAGAATGTGTCCGCTTCTAGGACTGCTTTCACTGTATATTAATTGTGTAATTAAAAAATGTCCAAAATAGTTGAGAATGATCAAAAGTAACATGATGCAATTAAAATTAACGAGTTAATTAAAAAATTTTGTTTAAGTAATTAATCATTAATCGTTAAAAAGGTACTAATATCGGTATTTAATCATTAAACGATTATTCAAAAAAACATGATTTAATTAATAATCATTATGAATATTAATCATTATTAAACAGGTATGGTATAATTGCGAGTACGTACTTGCTTTAACGTTTACAATATACCCAAATGAAAGTTGTAATATTTTGTGTAGCCTATTGTATTAAACTGTCGAAGTCAAATAGAACAGGGCATGAATAAATCGTTTTGTACTTGGTACAAGTCTGGTCATTTTCGAACTAGTTCGGTTTTAGTCAGGAAATTCTAGTTGGTGACTAGTATTTTTCTTGACTAGTTTGGGGTTTCACTGCAGGGTATAGATAGATAAGTAACGTAAGTTTCACTTCTACAGTGTGGCCCAGGCGCACTTACTTTTTTTTTACTTGTGCTTTTCTCTCAAAGTGTTTAGCGCCGGTAAACCCCAATGAAGGTTAAAATTTAAAAACGAATTAATAAAGTTTAAGGAAAATCTGTGGATAATTAACAATAAACTCCTTTTTTCGAAAAATCTATAAAAATCCCTTTTATTTTTCAAAAAACAAAACTGTGCAACAGTTATTATTTTACTCCCTGTATAAAATATTAATAGCTGGAATAAAATAATGTAAAAAAAATATTTTTTAAAAACAAGCTTTTATTTAATATGTACAATCAAAGGAATAAAATAAAATAATGTAAAAAAAGATTTTTTAGCAAGAAAATTGTATTAAAACTGCACAAATGAATAAAATAAAATCAGTTAATCTTTCGTTAAAGTTACTAAAACCAAATCGCGAAAGCAATTATTCAAACTCTAATGAAAATTACTAACACTTTGTATTGATTTACTTCGGCTTTAAAAAAGTTTGTCGCGCGAATAGCGAACCTTACATATCTTCATACATACATATTTATAAATACCAAGCAGAGCACCCGACGTCGTCCGGGGTAAGCAAATCAAAATATAAAACAGTAATTCAAATATTCAGTTCAGCATAAATTAGAGGAGAAAAACTATTTTCTTTCTTAAGGCATCCTTATGAGCCATATTTTTAGCTTTATCGTACTTCAACTAACATATATTGATCATCACTCTTTATACTACAAATCTTGTTCCATTATTAATGTTAGGTGAATTAAAGTAACGATAGAATTTTTAAATTAGTTTACTACGGTGCATTCCGTTTAGCTGCCTTTTCGCTTCGCTGCTTTAGTATAGCTGTACTTTTTCGGCAGAATGCTTATTTCAGAAAAAGTTTTATTCATTATGAATGAACATTTTTCGTTTAACAGCAACGCGGGACCAAAGAAACGATTGAATCTTTCCATTTCGAAATGATCTAAAAAATGTAAGGTTTCAAAAAAAACACAGTTTTAAATATCTGAGTGATCTAATAGATGAATACATATGTAT